TGGTCGATCAAAATTTTGGTTTTGCTAGTGTAAATCCACTCGAATTATTGATTCTTTTTGAGTATTAATTACAGTTTTTTATATCCGATTGCCGTGTGTCAGACGTTAGAATTGCTTACGCAATATTTTATGTGCCGCGCTATTCACTACCTCTCTCATTTGTTTGCTGGTGTTCAAATCTGTTGCAAATTAGACTGAACGCGCCCTTCTGAATTCAGACGGCCGCTACGATCAGAATTCAAAGGTCAATTTTGATATTTTCGACGACTCCTTGATATAACGTTTGATTACATACTGGCTTTCGATACAATCGAATTGTAAATATTACATTTGTTTGATATTCACATAACGATTATAGCCCCATTTGATATTACAATTTTTTGTGACTACGCGTTGATCTTCTTGTACTAAAAATCATTTAAAGTCAAACATTGACATACCAGGTATATTACAGTGCCCTATTTGTAATATTTTTGAGTTTATTGATTAAGTTACACCTAGTGTGACGTCAATTATTGTTTATGTTCTATCCCTATCAAGTCTTTTATTCCTTTAGCTTTTCAAGACCAGACCAAGGGATCTTATAGTTTGCCTGGTTTCCCCCTTTGGTAAGTATTCTCTCCTCTCTTTTGAAAGTGACTAGGTGGCGCCTATCCGGTTTACCATTATCACATTTTCCTTCTTGCCTCGTTTTTGCTAGTATACAAGAACCCCGAAATTCACCCCGACCCACCTCTACTTCGCTTACCGTGTGCTTATCCCAAGATAATTTTGTTACATTTGCCAAAGTGAACGTAACAGCATTAATACAGATCTGTTATTAAACATTCGAAAAAGTGATAGTCTTAAAGTCAGTGTCGACCGAGCCGAAGGCAAGTTCGGAAAAAATTGAATTACCCCACTACACTTTTACTCTGCCTAGGATTCTGCCGAACTCCCCTTAGGCGCGCTAGGTGCTGGTTTTAAAAAAATCACTGTTGCGCGCCTTCGGGTCTATCGCCATTAAAACAAGTTTGTGATTAAATTTCCACGTAAAACTGGTAGCTTTCAAACTAGTGCCTAGGCAGAGTAAAGATTTGATGGGGTAAGTGAATTTGTGCTGAAATTATCCTTGGATCGCTAGGCAATAATACACATCTGTTTTTAAACTTCTAAAAAAAGTGATCGTTTTAAAGTTCTTAGTTACCCCATTAGACCTAGGTTTGCTTGCTAGGCATGTCATTAAATTTCCGCGTAAAAACTATAGCTTTAAAACCTAGGCAGAGTGAAGGTTTGATGAGGTAAATAAATTTGTGCTGAAATTTTTCTTGGATCTGTTTTTAAACTTCTAAAAAATTGATAGTTATAAAATCTGTGCCGAAGGCGAGTTGGCAACAAACCTCTACTCTCTCTCTCTCTCTCTCTCAGTGCACTAAATTACCAATAATCTGTGTCCTACCTATTGATAATCAGGGATTATTCATCACAAATAATCAAGGAACAAAGACTGCTTTGTCAAAAATTTGCTTTTGATTCCCAAATTTGGATCTCGTTGGATCGTCCCTAGTATCCTGCCCTAGAACCCCAAAACCCATCTTCGTGACTGATGTTTAAACATTGAACGACAAGTAATCGGTAAAATCCCAAGAAAAAACTGCTAGGATTTGTCTGGGACAACTGCCGAACCTCCTTAAACAAGATCAATTTCTAGTATTTTGCGTAGAAATAATGCACCCAAGACAAGCATTTTGCCAAATAAACAAGACAGTAAAATCACTGGGAGTTATCCGAAATTAATGGCCTTGGAGGCATTTGCTTGATTTTATTCGAACATGATAGGTTTGTTAAATTTGCTTTTTTCGTATAGCAAAAAATATTGAAGATTCAATCTCATCCACATTTACTCAGATCTCTCCGAATCTTTTTAAATCCTCCCGTAATTTACACCAAAATCTCCTTCGCTCGAGACGGAAAATCACCTCCATATGGAACCTTTCAGAAGAGTATATTAAAAGTTGAAGCTCGGCTGCGGTACTAAGGGTCTCTGGTTCTAATCCGGGTTCGGGTATGGATAGTTGTAAGTGTATAGTGGGTTGGGTTGGTAGAGCATCCTTGGATGAAACCCCGTCCACTCAAAAATAAAGGCCATATAAATTTAAAAAGAAAAGACAGTGTCAATAACCCTAAAAGTTCTACACCTTGTAAACCACAGACACTAAGGATCAAAGGGACAATTGGAGATCTAGAAATTCAAAACGAGGTCACGCATTTAAATTACGTCTTTGTTTATTGGAATGTGCGTGAGAGAAGTTTATAAGGTTGTAGGTATTTGCAAACAAGGCTAGCACAAGAACCCATTTTACTTTAGCCACGACACGAACCACTCAATTGCCAATTGCTTTTTGAATAACGTTTGGAAACCAAGTTTCTAATTACAGTGTAAAATAAATACTTTCTATTTCTCGTTAGTCTTCAATCGTCCACACACGCGTTATCAGTTTTATTAATCTCTGACTTCCTAAAAGTTTACGCGGATGAACCTTTTTTTTGTTTTACTTGAACCCTTTTTCAAAAATTTGAAATGAACAACTTGTCGTTGTTTAAGAGTAGCGTTGCCCTTTTAGCATCTCCTAAAGTATTCGTCCGATTTCGATAAAATTTGAGACTTAACTTAAACTAAATAAGATTCCGAACGCAAAAGTGTTCTTTTGGCATCCTAACGCTATCTTCCATAGCATTATTCTGATGGGAAATCCGTTCACCAAGGTCACGACGTCGTCCAAAATCCAAGATGGCGACGAGTGTCTGGTTTCTACTCTCGAGAAACACAAGCGTTGAAGAATCTAGAGATTCTAAGGTACTTTCGGACACCATGAAATTGTCACGTCTTGGCACTCTGGTTTTTCTCAAAACCCAAGATTCAAAATAATAAGGTCCACATTCATTTTGGAGGATTAAATGCTCTATACACTCTGGACTCACAAGCTACAAGCTTTAATTCTATTTCACTTTCATGTGAAATTTTGCTAATACCAACCTAAAAAAGTATAGGTTGGATCGAGCCCTCCGTTAAGAGAAAACCAATATAATTTGTCAAAGCTGCAGGTTGAGCAAAAATGTTTAGATTCCTCACCAGGTGTTACATTATGGATATCAAGAATGTATTTGTAGAAAATCGCACGCATGCAGACCAGAAGTTTGATACAACTGTCACTAAGTGTGTCCAACATTGCGTTATTGTAGCTTTTACTCAACTTCTTTTCTGCGTCGACTCATTTTAAAAATGTGTTAAGTCAAACTCCACGTCCATTCTTCACTACAAGATTTTCGGGTTACGCACAGGAAGTAAGCATTTTATTCGTTCTAATAAATCTTTTTGATCAAACAATTAATAATTATTAAAGTAGGTATATTTTCGATCGGTAATGGTGTCCCTTAATTTTGTGTGTATATTCGTGCTTTATCCTCAGCGCTTGCCGAGATAAACAAATGGATTGTCCAAAGGACAATGCAAGAATAAAGCCATATTGATGTTGTACTAAAATCTCGACGGCATTAATTTAAGGAAATTCAAACACGCTAGTACCGGAACAATCCTATTTTAATGTAAGTCCAAGAATGGGAGATTTAAGGGTGACCTGAAGGGGACTGAAGACTTAATCTCTAACTAGGGACACTAAGCTGCTCGGTAGGGTGTTTACTAACGCTCGAACTAGTTCAACTTGGAACAATCCAGAGCACACAAGATAAACTCAACTCATCTTGAACTTCCACTACGTTTTCGTACAATTCAAAACACACAAAGTTTCTCCTTCTAAACCCGCCCCGATATAAATTAGTCCTTTCTTTTCCCTATTTTTTTTTCGCTTGTAAATCTCCAAAATCGATAACCTACAAAACAGGACACGTGCCAGCGATACAAAGGACGAACACAAGCATAAAAATAAGCAAACGATGTTATTCTTGCGACCAACTAAAGAGTTCAAAGAAGTTTTCGTCGGGCCGCCATCGATTATTTTTCCGGGGCGGCTCATGCTTGCTTATTTATTTAAAGGAGACGAATTAGTATTTTGAATTCAATCACAACTGCACGAGATTGAGGAATTTCGATAAAGGGCAACTCGTGCAACGCTAACGATTTACTCTATTTATAGAGACCACTTTGGGAAATGTATAACCGGGATTTTATATATTCGCACATAAAATATTACGGGAAAAACCTATTTCCGTGGGGGACTCGAATAAATAATGCAATTTTTCAAATTGCAGATAAGTTGTTTCTTCCCCGAAAGCTTCTGGGGGTGCTGCATTGGAGCTGGAGTGCGAAATAATTCCTGAAATATCGACGTATAAACAAGAGACGCCACGATAATAGCGGTATTTGGCTCTTGGTCTCTCGCATATTTCTTTTGGCCCATTAATTTTTTCTGCGTATTGTGGCATAAAAAACAAAACGGTTTCTCTTCGACGATGCCTCTTGAAAGTAGTTCAGGAAAAAACTACACCGCTTGCATATAGGAGACGGGATGGGAAGCGATTATTTTGACAAAAAAAATGGGGCGAGAGAAATGTCCCGCAATTAAGCGAATTGATTTAGACCGCCGGCCGGTTCAATATTGGCAGCCCAAAAAATGTCTCTTCCGGCATTTGCTAAATTGGGCGAGCTCGGTGACTGTAAGTAATCGTAAACGTGTATTCCAGAACAACAATATTATTATGAAAGTTTTGAATTAATGAGCATGCCTTCCTGCGGAGTTAATTGAAAGATTAGAATTGCAAATCTGTAGTGCGATATCTTTTTACATTTTCTTCAAACCCCTTTCGTCGGGAAAGGCACAACAAAATATTACCACCAATCGATAATTTCGCCGTACAATTTCGCAGGGGAGGGGGTGAGCTTCCACCGATTTGCAACAACCACATGCTGTTCATTCAAGACACAATTAGAGAACAAACACAAAAAAGAGGTGGTACGAAAACACGCAACGTGCATTAAAGATGTAGAAAAGTGCGATACTTACGAGGATTTTCAAATTTGGAAACGGGATGAGATCACAAGCATGCATGAGGGCAAACAAACGGCGGCAAGTTCATGGACTTACGTCGAAGTGGTGAATATATCGACGATGAGCGCGGGCGTTCTCTAGCTCTTGCCCGGGTGACAGGACCTTCTGGATCAGGAACAGGATCGTCGCACGCGCGCTCTTTACACGTGACCTAGTGTGTGCGCGGCGTAACACGGAATGGCGGGAACTGACTATGCTTGTGGCGCGATCTGCTCAGAACGTATCCATGACGACCGATTGGACGTTCGGTGGCGATGGCGCCGCGACACTAAAAACCCCCTCACCCCAAAAGCTTTACTTCCTAGTTTCGGAACCTCCTATTTTGTTTGCTAAGAAAGTTCCGCGACTAAAATGACAGGGCCCGAAATGCAAACCACCGAGACTCTCGGCAAAAACGAAAAGTTTCGACTCGCGTCGCCGATAAGCACGCGATTTCCTTTATGTCACCTACATTTCCATTCCGCTTTCCAATCATAAACACTTGAAATGGAAGAGATTTAACCTCGGAAAAACACGACGCACGGAAAACCTCAATGCTCCCATGCGAACGACAATAACAATCAACGGCATTCCATTAAGATTATTACGGTGCATTTGCAATATTCCTAGCTCGAACTTATTTTGAAAATCGTTTCAAAGCGCTCGATAAGCAAAATGAAAAATCAACTATACGTCAAGGGATTTAAAGTCGTCTTTCTAGCTGGATTGTGAAAGGATTGTGAAATGGCTCCAAACTACCAACCACGTTGTCCCATTTTCCAAACACTGAGAATCCCAAAATTAATTTTGCAAGAAACTCTCAAGGTCCTCGAGTAGTAAAATTTTAAAGTACTTCCGTTGGAAGGTCGTTATGTATGAGTCATATTACGACTTTCACCCCCCCCCTCTCAAACTTTTTCAAGTACTCGTGTCGTGTCCAACGTAGTATTCACTTCCTGTGCCTCTAAGATACGAAGGTACAGTTTTCCTAGGAAGGGATTACCCAAATTAACATAAGCCCCCACCCCTCGATTTTCAAATCGCAATTAAAGCAGAAGGAAAGCGGCGCAATAGTTGTATGGGTACTTTTAGAACAATGTATAGGTGGTGGAGAGATTATGTGCACATGAAATAGAAACACTTTTTTCTCTTCAATTTGCCTCCCACCCCGTGTCATATTGAAGGCAGGCGTAATAATTAAATAGAACCGGTTTTTAATTTGGTTGACGTTAAAAGGGGCCAAAATAAGCACTTTTTCTAATAATCAGAGGTTCAAAATGTATCCTCCGGGAGCTACTTCCACAAGTCCTAAAATTTGGGGGTTGCTCTGTAATTTTTTTCGTTAATAACGAAGGATTGAACTTGCGGGTCGATCATTTCAGTTTAATCAATAAAACTACGGTATTTAGTTTTCCTAAAAATTACCTCACTTTTCCAGACCTTTCTGTCATTTTTTAAGGAAATAGTAAGTAAATCTCGAAAAATGCCAAAATTGTTAAAAAATACTGGGGTTAGGATTGGACTCAGTAAAGGCATTGTAGGAGACATTGGAAACACCAATTGATAAACTAAACGCAGGGGTTGATCACAAAGGAAAATTCTTGTCTTTCACATTTACATACGAGAAGAGCTACCAACCAATATGTAGGAAAATGAAATGAGAAATTTATACGAAACAAGAAATGGATGTAATTTTTAAAGAATGACAATTAAGGAAACCTTTGGCCCCTAAAATATGTTCTAAAAAATTGTTCCTCACAGTCTTACAGTAAATTACTAGTAAGAGAAATTATCTGGAAACATTTTAGAAAAAAAAATATTGCGACTGCAAATGAGAATACAATGCAAACTTGAGTGAAAATTGCGACCGAGAAGCAAGAATTAAATTCCGTAGACAAATACCTAAAAATTGCCACTAAACCTTTGAGATAACCAAAATTCCACAATTTTAACAATAGTATTTCCTTTAAAGATGACCATATTTTTTCTAAAATCCCCTTATTTCCACAGAATATCTCATAACTTCCCTCTTACTTCCAGCAAAATTTCACCTAATTTCAACTGTTCTTTCATATGTCCTATAAAAATTAGTGTTACTCCTATATACATGGGCCAACTACCTACTGTGCCCAATAATTGGCTTTTTATTTCTGACAATGGCCAAAGGGTTGATTACAATCCCTTATTTCCTCGACCAGTGGCGTTTATAAACGTAATTGCCACATTAAATAAAATTCAAAATAAACTGATATATCTATGGAAAACACTCGCGTATTTAACGATTAGAGATTACGAGAGGTACAGGTTTGCGGCACATCTGGCGTGACGTATTGACCGAAATGATCGAATAACAAGTATGATTCATGATTTCGCGTTTAGCAAAGTGCAAAATTTCACCCAAAACGCGAATTTTCACGCGAATTCGTTGAAGAAATGCCTAATTACTCTAATAACATGTACTTTTTCAAAATTAATAACTCGATATTGCAGTTTTGAAACCTATTAGCAGGTTTTTTCCGAGTTTTTTTATATCCATTGGTAAAAGACTATCTCAAAATTGCTATTTGGCGATTTGCAACTGTAATTTCGATACTAATGACCATGTATATCAATGTTCAGACAAAAGATTCATAAACGCTTACCTTAATTTCATTTCAGAAAGATAAGAGGAGCATTGGGCACCAAGTTCCATTACAAAAACTACACGAATTGTTCAAAAACCGAGAAAAACGTAATTAAACGGCACTACAATTATTCAAAACGCGCTGAGTAAACACGACGCGGACGCCTGCAATACGCACAAATGTAGATAAGAAACTTACAGGTACAGGTTTAGACGCATGTGGTACGACTGCGCATTTACCTAAATCGCATAAATTCACATTTCGTAGGTATTCATTTTAAAATCGGCAATAAATAACGGGACAGTTTTGCAAACGCGGCTGATCTACTGGAAAAAAATTCAAATCACAGGAAAACGCCTCTCAAGTTCCTTGAAAAATAATTTCGGCTTTTGCACAATTTAATAAAATCCCCATTAAATTTCTTTAGGTAAAAATGTAACCCAAAAAACCTATTCAGTGTGTTTAGGCCCTAGAAAACGAAAATATGTGAGTACCTAGCCAAACCAAAGATGGTCACATCGAAGAGATTCTCGGGATGTCTTGGGTGAACAATTGTTTTCCAAACAAATCCTAATCTGATGAACGAGATAAAACATTGAAATTTTATTCTTGAAGTGTTTTGGCTGTATACCGGGAAGGGTTACGCCTTTCTAAATCGACTAATTTGTGAGTAGTGAAAATTGTTTATAAACATGATCAAGAAACACTGGACGAGGTCTAGGGCGCCTGTTGCACGTGATGCACTTCAGACGTTGAAAAAAACATGTGGTTTGGTAACTGAATGAATGCAAAAGACTAAAGAAGCGACCAATTTAGGCAGCTTCACTAAGGAGTTTCAAGAAAATCACGAGTTTTCAGAATTTTACACGAGTTACTTTTGGGGATAACAAAGGTTTCGTGTACGCGTAAGCGAACCTGTGAACTATAACTTTGATGCGCTGTGGAGGTGAACCAGATTTAATTAGCAATCGACTTTTGCACTGGCGATAAACCTGGGTTCATAATTTATGATCTCTGAATCAACAAGACTCGATGCAGTAAGGCTCCAGCCCTCCCAATTTGAAGTTTAAGTCACTACTTTTGCAAGGAAAAACTATGGCAACCATATTTTGCGACTCTCAGGGAATTTTTCTGACTGAATATATGCTAGGGTTTTGTTCCAAGCTTGTTTAAAATTATTCTTGAAGTGTTGGCTGTATACGGGGATGATTGCCCTTCTAAATCGACTATTTGTGAGTGGCCAAAATTGTTTAAACATGATCAAGAAACACTGGACGATGGTCTAGGGCGCCCTGTTGACGTGATCACTTCAGACGTTGAAAAAAACCATGTGTTTGGTACTGAATGATGCAAAAAGAAGCGACAATTAGCAGCTTCACTAGGAGTTTCGGAAATCAAGGTTTTCAGAATTTTACACGAGCACTTTGGGATGACAAAGGTTGCGTGTACGCGTAGAGACCTGTGAACAATTCTTGATGCGCTGTGGAGGTGAACCTGATTTAATTAGCAATCGACTTGTCACTGGCGATGAAACCTGGGTTCATAACTATGATCCTGAATCGAAACAAGACTCGATGCAGTAAGGCTCCAGCCCTCCCAAGAAGTTTAAAGTCACTCCTTCTGCAGGAAAAACTATGGCAACCATATTTTGCGACTCTCAGGGAATTTTTCTGACTGAATATATGCTAGGGTTTTGTTCCAAGCTTGTTTAAAAAGATGTTTCACCTTCTACTGCTGTAGAGTCACCTTTGCAATTTTTGTTTACATGGGAAATCGTACTTAACTTGAACTTCCAAAGGCGACTCGACAGCAACTCATTTTTGATGGCCCTTTATCATCCAAATTTACAGATACTGCAACTATATGTCAAACCTTCATTTTTTTCTGACATTTTATTTTTTTACACCATTAAACAACTGTATCATTTCTTTGCTGGATAGATAGTGTATGATTTCTAATTAAAAGTTAAAAAATTCACAGATTTCGTAATCCTACAACCATCGGAGACATTGGAAATGACAATCGTAGTCCGTATAACGCCATATGTAAAACACAAATAATCCTTATTCACAAGGAAACTTGCTCCACTCGCTCGCTAGCTCGCTCCGAGGGGTTATTCACTTGCGCAATACGTGTACACTATGCGTTGTGCAGTCAGCGCAATCTGCGAAATCCTTGTGCAATCCGCGAAATCGAAGCGCAATCTGCGAAATCGAAGCGCAATCTGCGAAATCGAAGCGCAATCTGCGCAATCAGCGAAATCATTTTGTAATCTACGACATCCACGAAATGTAATGATATACATTTAGATAGGAACCCAAGGGCAATATTCACAACGTCATGTAATAAGACTTGTAATAATTTCGTATTAGACGTTACGTACAAGGAATGATAATTATATTTGGTCAAGGAAAGAAGATTTACAGTATGTAGAAAAAGGATTTATCTTTTATGGACCAGTGCATTTGTTAGGAAGCGGCTCTTTTCAATTTAGTAAAAGCCAAAAAGCTGCAATTCAGAAACGGTATTCTGAAGTCTATCAGAAGCCAAATAAATAAAAAAAATAAGAACAAATATT